ATTTATGCCGGTAGTGGTATAAATTCAATTCCCCGCGCTTGCGCGGGATTTCAAGTAGTATTTATATATAGAGAGAGAGAGAGGAATGTATCAGTTCATTAAAAAGCAAGGAAACATCTGTATATAGCAAATGTCAAACTATTAAACCTTACTTTTTACATTCATTACTTCATTAATTACACTTCCACTCATATGTTTGTGAAAAACTCTCTTGTAAGATATTCCTGTATATTCCCCCACCCTCTTCCCAAAAGACATTCTTTTTAGAAATGGATATACAGGTACATGGCTTATTTACAATGACAGTTTTCTTAAGGCCTTAGACCTTTGCGGGATGAAATGGCTTCCTCTTGTGGAGAAATCAAAGGTCTTGTTGAGCTTACAGTGCTTGGGGTAGTGGCTATGGATGGTGGGATATGCAAGGGTGTGTATGCAGGATCGTCTTGCACAGGGGCTGGTTGTGGTGGAGACGATGTTGTTCAGGCATTTGTTGTGTTGGTTGATTACCATCTTGAATTGGTTGTTCACAGACGGTATAATGGCAACGTATTTGTGACAGCAACAGTCTTGATTTCAATCAAAATAATAGTAAGAGTCGTTACTACAGCCCAGGCAAAGAAACCTATTCAAAATATAAAAAAAAAACATTGTATATTTTTGTAAAAGTATATTATTATGTAAGAACATGAAAGGTATGCTGATGTGTCATGATAAATCCATGATCGCATTTATTCAAAATATGCTACCTCAGACTTAAACTGTTGTTTACTCTGTTTTATTATTCCAAGTTCCCTGTCTTTTGAATTTTGTTAACTTCCATGAAATTTATAAATGATTTTTTTTGTTTTGTTATCTTCCTTAATTAATCTTTACTGGAAATTGATACTCAAACACAAGGAAATCCAGTTCACATGCATACCAGATGTTTCAGGTTCCTCAAACATGTCTTCGTCTTCTCTTGGAGCTGTCATACTCCGAGCTGTAGTAGCAGTAGTAGAACTAACATCTATAACAAAATTTAACACAGATCTTGTGTTATTTCCTATATTGTACATGAAAAATTCTCTTTGGGTTAAAAGAATAGGTTTCTAGCAAAAAAAAAAAAAATAAAGAGAATGATTCTTTGCCTTTGTTTTTTTTCCCCTTTACTTATCTCTAATTATTAAAAACTGATACAAAATCAAGAATTTAAATAAACAATTACTAAAATACAACAAAGGGAATCAATTTCATATGCATATCACTTGTTGACACATAGTAGAAGTATTTCTTGTCTCTTTAACTTGTTTACAATACATGTATGTAGATATTTTTTATAAAATTTCTCTCTATTAAAAAACCATTTGCCATCGACTTTAAACTGTGTAAAGCATTAAAAAGCTTTTGAGAAATTGTACCTTGAATCTTTGGTGTCCTGCCTAAAAAGGAATAGACCTGACCGAGTGTAGCTGTAGTCGTTGAGGACGCTTGGGGCTTCTCACTTGTACTAGTTGTAGGGGTTTCCATAGCATGGGGGTTTGGTTTGTCTCTTTTGAGATGGTACCACCACTTCCCTCAGAATGAACAACTATAGCAAAATAAACATAAACTTTTAATTTGTGTGCAATCGTAACTACTCGGTCATTTTCTTTCTTCTTTAAAGCACTGAAAATTACCGAGTAGTTACGAAATTGTGCAAAATGTTTTTTGGACATTGAGAAAATTAGATAAAGGTGTAAATGTTGAGCTTATTTATTTAATTTTTAATATGTGGTACGTGGCATTTCCCCCCCCCCCCCCCAGGAAAAATGTTCAAACACAACTCAGTATCAGTGAACAGAAAGCACTGTTGTTTAATTCAGTTGAGAAAATACATTTAAATAAAATGTTCAATTAATTTATCTTGGCCTTTAAAATGTTAAGAATACTTGAATTGATTACAAATTGAGTAATATACTGTAAATTTCTATTTATTTGGTATTTGAATCTAAGGGCAGATCACTCTAACTGCAGAAAAATACCATAGAATCAGAACTCTTTGGTGTGCAGTGTAGAGAGGGTTCTTAAAGCCAGGGATTCCTGGCTTGAGTGATGCGCCATCTATCGCCCCTGCTTCACGATAAAGCATGGGAAATAATCAAACACTAGGGCGATTTGCTGACTCAGTCAGCTTTTAAACCGATTTATGTTTCCTGCGGTAATTAAATATGTCAATTCTAATAAACAGAACTAGTTTGCAGAGTTGTATTCAATTAATGTAGGTCATGTAATGTGATAGGGGCTTGCTGATATATTATATCACGCCTGAAAATTTAGAATTAATTCAGCGAAGTGAAATGTCTTGTTCACAGGCCTAGTATAAACACTCCTGTATATCGCGCATATGAGAGAGACAGCCAGTCTACAGCAAAGAGCGTAAATCATTCGGGAAACCTCGGTAGATGCCGTACCTCTGAAACTCTCGAGGTTTGCCGAATCTCTTTCCAGAGTTGTCGTCCGCTAATTTAATATGATAAAGAACATACCCTTTTTACTAATAAATATGATAAAAAGGTTTTTTTTTTCTTTTTTAAAAATTCACCATTTATTTCCCCAGAATGTGTAAACCAAGCGCTGACAGAGGCATAGATCTATATGTTGGAGCGTAGCGGAAACAACTCTGGATAGAGAATGCCGAAACAGTTGAAACTTTAAAAATTACTGGTGCACTCTTAACCATCTTTGTCCCTGACAGTAACAGCTTCTGAGAGGAGTAAATTTCCTTCTCTATCATACAAAATAGTACTGCATGAAAATAAAGTGATGTCTCTGACAAATGTCATGAACTGTTCGCATTCGCTTACAGGTTTTAAACATCTTGCTATCCCAAATGAATTTTATGGAAAGCCACAGGGGACCCCCAAGTCATGTTCTATATATTCATAGTAATTCAATCTTGGGCGGTCATGTTTACAATCCCGGCCAAGTCATGATCGGCCACACGGGACTCCCAAGTCATGTTCTATATATTCATAGTAATTCAATCTTGGGCGGTCATGTTCCCAAGTCATGTTCTATATATTCATAGTAATTCAATCTTGGGCGGTCATGTTTACAATCCCGGCCAAGTCATGATCGGCCACACGGGACTCCCAAGTCATGTTCTATATATTCATAGTAATTCAATCTTGGGCGGTCATGTTCTATATATTCATAGTAATTCGATCTTGGGCGGTCATGTTCTATACATTCATAGTAATTCAATCTTGGGCGGTCATGTTCTATATATTCATAGTAATTCAATCTTGGGCGGTCATGTTTAAAATCCCGGCCAAGTCATGATCGGCCACACGGGACTCCCAAGTCATGTTCTATATATTCATAGTAAATCAATCTTGGGCGGTCATGTTCTATATATTCATAGTAATTCAATCTTGGGCGGTCATGTTCTATACATTCATAGTAATTCAATCTTGGGCGGTCATGTTCTATATATTCATAGTAATTCAATCTTGGGCGGTCATGTTCTATATATTCATAGTAATTCAATCTTGGGCGGTCATGTTCTATATATTCATGGTAATTCAATCTTGGGCGGTCATGTTCTATATATTCATAGTAATTCAATCTTGGGGGGTCATGTTCTATACATTCATGGTAATTCAATCTTGGGCGGTCATGTTCTATATATTCATAGTAATTCAATCTTGGGGGGTCATGTTCTATATATTCATAGTAATTCAATCTTGGGCGGTCATGTTCTATATATTCATAGTAATTCAATCGGTCATGTTATGATTGCAACTCTGACCAAGTCAGGTTTGGTTTGATAGCATAACATGGCCTTCTTATCTTTGCCGGTCATGATTTGACAACCCTGGCTTAGTCAAGATATATCCCATGTTTTACATCTTGACTAGGCCATGATTTTCTATCCCAAGATTGCATTGGCCAAGATACATTACTTCCAAACGCAGTCAAGATTTACTTCCCAAGATTTTATAGGACCGAGATTCGGCCAAGATAGCATTGCGCCAAGATACATTACTTCCAAACGCAGTCAAGATTCACTTCCCAAGATTTCAAAAGACAAAGACTAATTTCCCAAGATTTCAAAAGATCAGGATTTACTTCATATCTAGATAACTTGTTACCGTCGTATTACAATATAGGCCTACATAACTGCAATCAGGAATCGTTGTTCGATGTAAGTACACAATGAATAATTTTCTTTTATTTTATTTAGATTGTTTTCCTTTCTCATTAAAACTGTAGCGGGTCTCAATCTATTGACGAGTGAAACTGAAACCCTCACGAAGCAGTAAATGTCATTTCTGAACTTGATTTCTTTTAGATTTTTTAATTATTCCTACAGCTTTATTAACATATATAACTGATAATCATTTATTGTAATTGTTTCATTTTTCCATAAATGGAAGCAATTATATTAACGAGGAAACTCAAGTAAATTTATCTCAATAGTAGGATAGTACGGATCCTTTAAAATTAGAACAACCTGAAGTAGGTTTTTGAAAATACATTTGTGCAATTTTGCATTTAAAGGAAGAAAAAAAAAACCCAAGAAATTGCAAGGTTGTTTACTATGTAGTTTTAAAATAACAACACAGAACACAGATAGTTGCATGAAACATTGCAGCTTTTAGGCACTTTTAAGCAAAGCATGCATTTATATTGTTTGAGTAAATGGGAGTCCGGTCAAGTCGTACACAGACCAACTCATATACAGGTCAACTCGTATACAAAAATTTCCGTATAAACAACGTATACAAAAATTCCCGGTATGCTAAAGAGTCAACTCGTATACAAAAATTTCATATGCATATATAATCAAATACAATTTATGTCAAATATTAAACATGATAATTAATATATATATATAACGTTAACAAATATTCTTACAACAGATGATATCATATAAGAAAAGATTAAGTAATATAATATTTTACAGCAAAAGATGACTTTCATTGTCTAAAACAGTGATAAGTATCCATTTTCTGTAAATAGGCTAACAATACGAGTTGACCTGTATACGAGTTGGTCTGTGTACGACTTGACTGTAAATCAGTAAATGTATACCAGTCCACCTTGTGTGTGATAAGGCATCGATAAGTATGATTACTTCACATTGTGTTGAATTATTAACAATCAATTATCATAGTAGTATAATTAGGTAGGTAAATAAAGCTATGTAGGTAATTAAAGGTACCTAGCAATATCTAGTGATTGTACTGGATCTGGTATTATAAGCATTGATTGTCATTATATTATGACCTCTTTTTATATACAGTTCATTATATATTTTCTTTTTTAGAATTATGTTTTGCATTGAATGTGGGGTGGTTTTAGGCCCCACAAACAAGTTTTGTGGTTCATGTGGCGCCCCAGTCTGTGTCAAAAGGAAAGGTAATAACGATAGTGTAGTATTATGCTAGAGATGCATTATACTGTAGGTCAATGAAAAATAAAGTACATATTAGATAATATACTAGTCTTGTACATAACCCACTTTGTAACTTATTGTTAATTAATGTATATTGCAGTAACAACAGAACCTGACACAGCCAAACCAGGGCCATCAAAATGTAAGTTTGATATTAAATAAATACTACTGAAACTTACATATATCGGTTTTAATATGGTCAAAGGAATACTGCAGATGTACATGAGATACAAAAGTACAATGTGCTAAAATACTAATTATAAATAAATATATGCATAGCCTTGTAAATATTTTCAAATTGGTGACCTTTTATTAATTTTCAAAGTATGTGTTTGAATAGCTTACCTATAGATATTTTGATATGCTACTTTGTTTATACTTAATACAGCTTTTGATGAGTCAGCAAAAGGATGCTTCTCGCCAAATGGTAAGTACAGATGATATCCGTGTATGATTCAAAATTACAAAACTTTTTTCTTGGAAGAATAATTATTTAGAAATTGTATTTGTTTAATGACAGCACATTTTACATATATATGTTTTACTTAAAGAAAGAGAAGAATTCATTTAAATTATATATTATATTAGCAGGTAAAATCTATCATGACTATCCTTTTTCTTTAGGAAGTCCATCTTTGCATAAGAAGAGAGAAGGTACAGTAAATTATATGTTATTGGTAAATTATGAGATAAAAGTCACATTATGATGCCAGTGCTGTATGTTCATAAACAATGCAAATTTTTATTAGAGAAAATCTGGAGACATATAGAGTACATCTGAATAATTAAATGATTTCTAAAAGAACTATGTAGATGCTAAGTTTAGACTCTTGCCTTCAGTTTCCATTTTAAGCTCACCTGAACCGAAGGTTCAAGTCAGCTTTTCTGATCACCTGTTGTCCATCAGTCATTTATTCATCAGTATGTGAACTTTCCATATTTTTTAAAATCTTCTCATGTTGTCCTCAACCTAAGTCGTACTACATACGGTAAATCAAAGATGCAATAAAGGGCAATGTTCTATTTTTTCTTCTTCAGAGGTACAGTCCAAACTTGACTTTTTAAAGGCCAAGTTTTTGGATAGTAAGAAAAAAATGTCCAGCAAAAGATTAGGTGGACACACTAAATCTTCAGGGTTGGAGGTAAGAAATTAGGCATCATTGAATCCAGCTTAAATGTGTGTAGTTATTTATGAACTATTTTGTCTTTGTTTGATCAGATATTTATAATAGGCTATCAGTACTGTATGTAGGAAACAAAATATGTTTAAAAGGTGTAATGCACAACACTGGTCCTTCAGACCAATGGTATATATTTATCTTCAGGTCAATTTTGGTGTATAGTTGATCAGAGCTGAATCCCGTCAATTTTAATCTTACTCCATGGAACATTTTTGCAAAGGCTGGATAAAATATAAAATGTGCTGATTTCATGCACGAAGGCCTCCATTTTTAACTATTTAGTAATCATAGCATATTTCTTTTTTACATGTATACTGTGCATGATTGTTCTATTAAAAAGGGATATTTTATTTATTTTTAATTACCTGGTAATTGAAATGCACTAACTACTAATCTTTTAATTACATTAACAGATTTTGGAAGTCCGTTTTTTGGACAACCGTGGAAAGAGGCTGCAGAGGGTGATAAATGGCAGCTCGTCATTATTACTGGAAGTGGAATCTTCCAGTGCCGTCCCGGAGTGGATGGCTCTCTTAAGTGCAAAGTTCAAGACACAGATTCCTATGGAAGCGATGGTATTTAAAGAGCACAAATTCATTGCACTCAAAGATACGACAAGCGTAGAAGATTTAAAGAACCTATCGAAGGGAAAGAGGAAACATTTTGGTTTTTTTGTTCAAGTGCATGCCTGTAAGTAATTGTAATTGATTTCTATAAGAAAAGAACAATGTGTTAAATACATGTGTGTGGGTGGGTGGGTGTGCGTGTGTGTTATGATATATAATTCTTCAGTGTGTGATATTACATATGATAGTGCAGGGATTTGCTTGAAAGAAATTGTGCTTTTTGAAATATTTGCATGTTTTAAGTTACGGTATAATGTTGCACATTATAAAATTAATGCTGTGTAATACATTATACATTAGTTGAAGTCATTGTAATGCTGTTATAAACTGAATTACAGCTCGGAAAAAAATTGTTAACAATCTTATCACAGTAAGGATAATTTTGTACTGTTGGTTACATATAAAGTTAAATTGCTTTTGTTCAGGATTTGATTTTTTTCCCTTTATATTTTTTTTTATATTTTCATTACCAACCAAGTTCATATCCGGGTTAAATGGTTAACATTGCTGTTTACATGTATTTCTTAAATGAACCAGAATCAGCTACTTTTTAATACAAAGATAAGTTCTTGTAATTTTGCAGTTACTGTGAAGATAACAAGTAATTGTTATAGTTGACAGGAATCATGAAGCTACAGATTGATTTATATATATTTTACAATACTAAATTGTTAGAACATTTATAAAAAAAATTAGTGCCGCAGAATCATGAAAACAATTTGAAAATGGCTCTTGATTAAAGAAAATATGCAAGAAAAGCTTAAATGAGTTTGATAAACCATAAAGAAAAAGTATAGAAAATAAATTAGGAAGGAATGACTGACAAACCACGATAAAGAATATAGAATCTTTCCTGCTATCCCCTTTTAACTCTGCAATTCCATGGATGTACCTTTGATCATGATGATTAGTCCCAAATGTAATTAAGAAACAGACGATATTTAAAGCAGGTATGCAGGATAAGCAAACCTAGAAGCAAATGAAAAAAGTTCCAAATTAACAATTTCATTTCTACTGACTTTCTTTATTTGTTTGGAAGTACTATTTGCATGAATTAAGATTTTTATTTAAAGTTTGGATTGTTTGCAAATGTAGAAAATGTGGAAATGAAAAGCTGTGCAAAAGAAAAATAGTTTGTTTTTTTTTTAAACCAATCTTGACACAGAGTAATAAAAAAAAAAGGGTCAATGAAAGTGAAAACAAATACTAAAAGTACCTTGTGAAGAGGGAAATCACCTTGTTAGGACACATCTGCTGAAGTCATGTAAAAGTTTTAATGAATGATGAATATATATATGTGAAAAAAAAATATAAGACTGTTCATACCAGCTGTTCAATTCCACATACTATGAAAGTTCTATTGATTCTTCCATGATACATTCTTTAGCGAAACTGCTAATTTTTTTAGCAGCAAAACAGAACAATTTATATGTATCTCTGAAAAATTCAATTAGAGATCGTCTATTATAGTGTGTATTGTATACCTTCTTTTGCAAAGTGTGATTGAAACTGAAAAATCAAAAGTGTGAAACAATTAAGTAACACCCTTTCAATGAGAAACTAGCAAATACACTGTAGTAACTGTTTCATCATAAATTGTATTTATGTTACAAAGGATTGAATTTCAGAGTGATTATCTGATCAATTTTATAGCACATTTGATATTAAAGATCTTTCAATTACTTAATCGTTAAATATGTTCTGTTAAACTTAATTATCATTAAACCTTGTAAAGTTTTACATACCTATAATATAATTGTTATATACTTAAGGGTTATCTTTGTATTTTAAAGGAGAAGACCACTTCAGCCAATGAATCCCCAGTAAGTACTCTTTAATTGTAAAAATAGAAAAATTGCAAAGTTTCACCAGATGAAAAACATTTGAAAGAAATTATTACAAGGGTAATGTACATTATAAAAATGGCCAATTAAGATAATGTTTGTATTTTAAAGGAGAAGACCACTTCAGCAAATGAATCTCCAGTAAGTACAAATAGGATAAATAGGAAATAACAGAATTTTATTGGATGAAAAACATTTGAAATGAAATTGTTACCCATGTTTTGTAAGTACATATAAATTGAAATGCTCATTAAGGTAATCTTTTTATTCTAAAGGAGAAGACCACCTCAGCCAAAGAATCTCTGGTATGTACAACAACTCAAGTGAATTTTTCTGGGCAAATTTTGTCTCTTATTAGTCTTCACCATTGATGTGGTAAATTTTTCACATTTTATCTTTTCCACAACCACCAGGTCAATTTCAACAAACTTGGCAAAAAGCATTCTTTAGGGAAGGGCTTTCAAGTTTGTTTGAATGAAGGACATTATGTCCCTTTCCAGGGGGAAATAATTAGGAATGTGTATTGGGGTGTTTTAAAAATCTGTTTTTACAAGAGCCAAAAATACTTAAATCATTTATATACCGGAAAGTTAAATAAATGAATTGTTTAAAGTTTAAGTTACCGGTAAGTTTGTTTTAAATCATGACCCCCAGGGGTCAGGAATGGGCTTTACATGGGATCAAAGTTGTTGAAAATAATCATTTACATTTCCATTATTATTTTCTGTAATACATATTTTATTTTCATAAAAATTGGACAAGGCATTTTTATTATCTCCTTGGAAGAAGGGAGAACATATTGCTCTGCTGCTGTTCGTCTGTCTGTAGGTCGATCTACCAACAGTGACTGTTCATTTACTTTGCAGAGGTTGTACATACGGAAATTTGAGTTTGATTTTGGGTACAAATGAGCAATTTTTGAAAGAGTTATGCCCCTTTGGACTTAAAAATATTCCAATTACATGTATTTGCTGTTTCCTTTCATTTTCTTTGCAGAGGTCTTTAAGGGAGGGGGCATAAGTCTTTTGCCAACATCTCACCAATATAGGATGAAATATAAAAAATGCCACATGATAATCTATATGTCTATTCATTTGGTGGTTTGAAATGGCAAATTGAATTGTTATTTTTTTCTAATGCGCAATATAACTTGTCTTAGTGGGGGAGAGGGAGTCATTAGATATGCAAACATTAACATTAAACCATATTTGCTATGACCTTTTACAGAATTTACAGTTAAAGTTCAAGGTTATAGCATATCTCTTTGTGATGACATTGTCCTTAGCATGTTTCTTTCCCCTCTGGTTAATGCCAATCTGGTTCACATTAATTCACCTGAAAGAATGGATCATTACTCCGAATCATTATCATGTCACACTCAAAGGTTGCCTTTAATGAATGTTTGATGCCATATCTCAATATATGGCTTCATATAATAGGAAACAACAAGATTATAAAACCAAGAGCTATCATTGTATCCAAGAAATACTTGAGCAATATGTTAATATTATTTAAATCTGATTATTGTCAGCCACCAAGTCAGTTTATTGATGATCTAGATGCCAGTTCAAAAATGTACAATTTTCTTGATTTATTTAAATGTTATTAATTTATCATATCTAGAAAAGCTAGGTTGATTATGCTTTTGATTTTTAACAGAAGCAGAAACGTCACGATATCATACTGTCTGATTCTTCAGAGGACGAGTTGGAAGAGCCTGTGAGTTTGACTTGTAATATTTTGTGCAAGGACATGTTTTATAGATAGAATGTTTCATCTATATGCAAGTATATTTTTATTCCATTCATGCCTTTATTAATCAATCATTGACTTCTTGATTGGTTTAATAAAATTGTAATTTTTTTTAAGAACCACATTTTTCAGCTGCAGGTTTGTAGCTCCCGGTCTGGAAAAATTTTGGATGCATGACCTTGGGGCTTTAGTGCCTCAATTGAAAAATTGTGTATTTATTGTGCACAAAATGTGCCTAGTTTTGGACTGATTTATATGAAAAATCTTTGAAAAAAAATAGTACCAGTAAATTCTTCATGCAACTTACTACCCATATTGTCTCTTTACTTGCCTCAGACTTTCTCCAGAATACGCAAACCGACCTCGTAAAATGAAGTATGTTATATTCACATCTAGATTGGCTCTCTGAGGAATATACCGGTACATGTATATAATTGTGATGCAAAAGGGCCTTAAAGCCTTTGTCAGTTTTGATTGCCATTTGTGATGTATTGGTTTAAGTTTCTAGCATTTTTGCAGTCTTTATTAATTGGCCTTTTGGGTTTGATTTGATGTTGAGTTCCTATATTTTTACATTAATATAGGTACATGTAGCATCTGTTAATAATGATGAAATGCAAATGCTCCATTCTCATTCCAAGGTAACAAAGTGTTACCTTGGAATTATTATCAATTTATCACATCAAGAAAAACTAGGTTGATTATGCTTTTGATTTTTAACAGAAGCAGAGAAGTCTGGATGTCATACTGTCTGATTCTTCAGAGGACGAGTTTGAAGAGCCTGTGAGTTTCACTTATAATATTTTGTGCAAGGATTTGTTTTATATTAGATAGAATGTTTCATCTATATACAAGTATATTTTAATTCCATTCATGCTTTTATCAATCAATTATTGACTTCTTGATTGATTTAATAAAATTGTTATTTTTTTAAGAAAAGAAAAAAGAAGACAGAAAATTTGCCACAGACTAGTACACCTGAAAGAAAACAATCTAAACGGGTAAATTAATAATTTCCATAAAACCACATTTTTATGCAGCCTATTAAAACCATTGCGTTTTATGTTTAAGTGATGTTATGACAAGAGGTTAGACTTTCAGAGGCGCATAAGCATGAAAATGTTAATGCATAATTTTAAAGCCTCTAAACCTTTGTCAGTTTTTATAACCATTAGTGATGTTTTGCTTAAACAGTTTATAGTTTTTTTGCAGTCTTTATTAGTTGACCTTTTGGGTTTGATTTGATGTTGAGTTCCTATATTTTTACATTAATATAGGTACATGTAGCATCTGACACTGAAGATATGCCAACGCTCCATTCCCATTCCATGGTAAGAAAGTGTTTATATCATTATTCAAGTTCAATTAAACAATTACATTCTACATACATGTAGGTTTTGCTTGAGTTTGTTTTATTGATATTTTCATCATTTATTTGTTTTTATAACTCCACAAACAAAGTTTGGGGGGTGGTAAATATAGGAATTGCCATATCTGTCTGTCTATCTGTCTGTCTGTCTGTCTACATGTATATTGGAAACCGTGTCTAGTCCATATATTTCTTATGGAGAAACATTGAATGTTCTTACTTCACACAAAGATTGCTTATGATCTGAGGGTGTTCCTGATCATGATTTGACCTATTGTCATTTGGGCATGTTCAATGTCATCGAAAGAAAAAAGCTCATGATTTGTGTCTGCGTTATACCTCTCTTGTGGAGAAACATTGGATGTTCCTACTTTATCTAAAGATTCAGTGACTCTAGTTAAATACTTTTTTTGGTTTACAGAAAAAGAAAAAAGGTGTCTGCAGTACAGCCAGTCCTCAAGAATCTCCAGTAAGATTATAATAACAATGAATTTCTGTTGTTTTAAACAATAATCATAGAAGTTTTACCAAGATTTTTTGTTTGATAAAAACCAAGCAAACAGAAATTTTACATGTAAATGTTGACATTTACCAAATAATATTTACTCACAATACCAATCCATTATGCCAGAAGAAACTATTTTGACAATTTTAGCTCACCTGGGTCAAAGGCTTGAGTGAGCTTTTCTGATCAAAATTTGTCTGTTGTCTGTCATCGTCAAAGTTGTAAACAGTTTTAATTTTCATCTTCTTCCCCAGAACCAAACTTGGTACAAGGTATCATTAGGTGAGGGGGATTCAAGTTTGTTAAAAGTGAAGAGCCACACCCTCTCTCAAGGGGAGATAATTAGGAATTTTTGAAAATTTATTGGGTGGGGGGGGGTTCAAAAATTTTCTTCTCATAAAACATTTGGCCATGAGCCATACGTGGAAGCACCCCCAGGTAGTGTAGATTCAAATTGTTGAATTCATGGTCCCCATTGGTAGGGTGCGTCAAATTTTTACATAAAAATATATGATGATTGAAAAATCTTCAGAAAATATTTTCTTTAAAACTTATAGGTCAGAAATGCTGTTACTTGTGTGAAAGCATTCCCAGGTAGTGTTGAGTTCAAGTTGAGTCCGCAATGGAGGGTCAAAATTTTACGTAGAAAAAAAATCTTTCAAAATCATTTCTTTAAAACTAATGTGATACTACAATGAAATCATTTTGATCCAATAGGGGCTATATGTTGAACATAAAAATATCTAGAGTGAAATGAGAAAACTCATTTATACAAGCATCTTTTACTTCATTGTCCAGATTTATGTTTGACTCCATAAAGCTGATTATATAATGGCTTTTGTTGCTCGGGTGAGCGATGTGGCCAATGGACATCTTGTTCAGTGGGAGGGGTGAATGAAGCCTTGAGCAATTTAAACTTAATGTATACAATCCCTGGATCAAGTTTAATTGTTATGTAGCCAAACAAACCACTAATGTTTGGATAATACAAATAAATAAATGTTAATATATGAAATTTTTCGCTGTCTTTTAGATTTAAAGTTGTTCGTATTCACTCTTATCTGGAAAAGCATGCTGTATGTTTAAATTCATATACCTGTAAAAGAAGACAGATAATGGATTTACCTATTCCGATTTTGCAGATTAAGAATGACAGTTCAGATCTGCCAGACATTCCTGTAACGGTATGTGTGACATTATGAATGTACATTTCATCTTTCAAAGTCAAGAGTCTCTGATTCGATCCACACTTATGTATAGCGAAGCAAGTCAGAAGCTTATGCTTATTTATGAAACATTAATATTCACATGTTAAATTTTGTCCCTTACTTTACCATTAAAGGACACAGATGAAGGCAAATGTACAGATGAGAATAAGGTAGTTATTTTTTTTAATTTTTAGCTCACCGAGACGAAGTCGGGGGGAGCTTATGCTATACCCCTGGCGTCGGCATCAGCGTCCGGACCTGGTTAAAGTTTTTGTTGCAGGTCCAGTATCTAAGTTATTACTTGTCCTATCTTCACCAAACTTGCATGGATGATGCATCTGGACCTACTTATGGACTTGAAAGACTTGGATGCTGAATCTGGGCCATGAATTTCAGATGCTGGAGGAGGTTAAGGTTTTTGGAGCAGGTTAAAATTTTTGGTGCAGGTGCCCTTTGATAGCAATTTCTAAGTTACTACTGGTCCTAACTTCACCAAACTTGCATGGATGGTGCGTCTTATGATACTGATGCACCAGACAGGCTTGAATGCTGAATCTGAGCCATAGGTTTCGGATGCTGGAGGAGGTTAAGGTTTTTGGAGCTGGTTAAAGTTTTGGGAGCAGGTGCCCTCTGATGATTATATCTTAGTTATTACTGGTCCTAACTTCACCAAACTTGCATGGATGATGCGTCTTATGATACTGATGCACCTGACAGGCATGAATGCTGAATCTGAGCCATAGGTTTCGGATGCTGGATGAGGTTTTGTTTTTTGGAACAGGTCACATGTTTTATAGGTAATAGTACTGTACTATTTCAAACTTGCATAGTTGATTTAACTATAATATAAACTAGTTCTAATTGTAACGGGGACCGTTACAGATGTTCCCCAAACGCTCCCCAACTCCCTTTTTGTGCCAATTTCCTTTAAAACTTTTTTTTTTAAGATGCTCAGTTATCGCAGGATTTCATAAAAAAAAATTTAAAAGCTACAATGATATTTTTTGTCATTAAACGCATTGCAGGCAAACGCACGTGCATACACATGCAAGGTGATCATTGCATGTTGTCTAAACTATTAACATATCTTTATATTCTATAATATAGCTAAGAATCAATAAAAAGTCATAAAAATATAAATGTTACCGTTTTTCAAATACATTGTTCATATTTCGCATTGCACTTGCGCAAATACATGCAAGCATGCCCTTGCATTCAATCTTGATAGTGGTATCATGTAGGAATTCATTATTTCTATTCATATTCTAAATTTCATCCTGTTCTGTTGAGAAACAACAAAGTTATAGGCATCTAAAGTTTCAGCCAATCAGATTGCAGCACACGTAAATTAACATGCTTTTATGATAATTCTTATATTTCATGCTGTAGATCTTCATAATGTATGACTATGTTCAAAATTTCAAAGGATTATGACGTAAAACAAGAAAGATATTGAGAATTTAGTTTCAGCCAATCAGAGCGAAGCACACGTGCATGCGCGTAAGATCATAAATTAACATGCTTTTATGATAATTCTTATATTTCATGCTGTAGATCTTCATAATGTATGACTATGTTCAAAATTTCAAAGGATTATGACGTAAAACAAGAAAGATATTGAGAATTTAGTTTCAGCCAATCAGAGCGAAGCACACGTGCATGCGCGTAAGATCTTGCTATTTTGACCACGTCATCTTGTTGATACTACTAATATATCCATACATTGTGAGTTTCAAAAAATTCCATCAAGAAATAGAAAAGTTAAGGCTTCATTTATTATATTGGTAATTTCACATGTTGCACGTGCGCGCTCTTGCCAGCACACGTGCATGTACGTGCTTTCATGAACATTCTTATATATCATGCTGTAGACCTTCATAATGTGTGACTAAGTTCAAAATTTCAAATGATTATGACGTAAAACAAAACAGATATTGAGACTTTAGTTTCAGCCAATCAGAGCGAAGCGCACGTGCATGCACGTGAGATCTTGCTATAATGACCATGTCATCTTGTTTATACTACTAATATATCCTTACATTATGAGTTTCAAAACATTTCATCAAAAAGGTTACAAACAGTAATCTGGAGATGTTTTTTTTATTTTCAACATTGGAATATCGCAAATGAAAATGGTGTCGTCAAACAGCCTTCAATGTCTTATCTATTCAAATCCCAACTATATAATAAAACAGTTATGGACTCTTTTGGTGTTGAATATGGTTTGTTATTCACCCGAAAAATATCCATATTGACCTCAGCTTCGCCTCGGTCAATATGAATATTTTTTTTGGTGAATAACAAACCATATTCAACACCAAAAGAGTCCATAATTGTATAATATCACATGATATTGTATCATATGATATGATACAATGTTGTATCAAATTATATTGTATCAATTGATACAATATCATATAATGTATCAAATATGATAAAATATCATACTATATTATACAATTTAATATCATATGTTACAATATTGTGATGTATTATGTGATATGATATTGTATCATATAATACTATATTGTATCATAAATAATGATATAAATTGTATTATGTGATTAAATACAATAATGTATACAATAGGATACAATGTCATATCATATGTTACAATATCATATTGGATCATTATTTATAACAGTATTATATTGTATAA